GTCGTTCCATCGCGAGACGTTACCTTGTCTCTTTCTTCCTTGTTAGGTCGAAGATCGGAACCAGCGCAATTCCGACAAGTTCAATTTCCGTGTTGCAAACGCGACAAAATGTATCCCGCGCGAATCGCGAACGCGTTTTCATCGTCTCGAATAAACATAGAGATCGTCTTCTGCGTGGAATCTCTAACGTCGAGACCTGACCCCGACGAAATTGTATCGGTTTCAATCGCTGCTCGTTTATTTTCATAATGACAGTTTCGTTTCTATTCTCGTGTAAAAAAAAAAAAAAGAAAGGAGAAGAAAAGAAGTATGTCGTGTGTAATGTGTGTATGTGTGTGTATGCACGTGTAATGCGTGTAAACGGCGGCGCGCACGTCTACGTATTCTTTATACAAACTTGGCAGCGACTTATTCGGGATCTAAGGTTGCCCGCTTTTAAGGTCTGTTTTTCGGGGCTCCTAAACTGCTGGTTGTCCTCTATGCTCACCATCCAGAAGCTATACTGATTAGAATAGTAATGGCAGTGTCCTTTGGCGCCGTTGCACTCGATGAACGGTGTGGCGCGGAAGTCTTCCAGGCAGGAACCGGAACTCGACAGGGATTGGCCACCGCCTTGGGAACCTGCACCGGTATGCTGAAACACAATGGCAAAGAATTATATTCGACGAAACAGGTACATAAGCGCTAATTTTAAATTTCTTAATTCTAAAGAAGAATTCGCATTTTCCTTAAATATTACAAAAATTGTGACTGGACCGCGTCATATATTGGCTTCCTAAACTTTGGCGTCGAAATGCTGAGAAAGAATTACATCTCGGATAAAATTGATCTTTCTTTCAACAAGAGACAATCTTTGTCTCCTGACAGTTCATAGTGATGAAGGTTTGCTTTATTTCGAACATGATTGATTTGAACTTTTCTATCTACAAACTGAATATAAAACGAATCCCAAACTTAGACACTCTTTTAAGAAAAAAATAACTGTGTAAATGTGATAAGAGAAAAATGAAATTTTATATGACATATAATTTATTTTAATAAACTTGGATGTCAATGTATTATCGGTATTAATATTTTTTATAATATATAATAAATATTATATATACATATTAAATCTACTTTCTATAATTTATGTTTATCGATCCATTTTATTAATTATTTTATGAAAAATAACTAATACGTATCAGAAATTTTATTCTTTTACATGAATAAAGTTGCCTCACTTTTCTTGCAATTCCATTTTTCTGCCGTAAAATATTAAAATATTTATCGAAATTAGTATCACGCGATTTGATTCATCTTACATTTTATATTAAATGCTTTATCTGTTCTTTTCAATTTCATATTTTTGAACAGGTAAAATATAATAAAATAATTAATTTAATATAACTTCAATGACATTAATGATATTGTTAAAAATTATATTGCTCAAGGAAGGAGAATATTAAATACGAAGTTATTTCACGTTGTAATATATAATGTGAAGAAAATTATTTACCATTACAAAACTATAACCGATCCAAAGACCGGTCCATCCTGCCGGACATTCTGGAATGCTTATCGATTGACTGTGTACCGCTATCACATTAGCTGGCACTTCGCACACCACGCACCTGTTACAAAAATTACAAAATTATTTGGTTAATAAATCTATGCAGTTATTCCAAATATCAACTCGTATAATATTCTAAAAATATGTATTAATAGAAACCAAAAATAATCGTACGCAAAAAAAACGAGTTTTTTATCATTCGTAGAAATATGGCAATGAATACAAATTGAATGTGGAAATATTAGTTTTCTTTTTTTTGCGTTGTTTCTTTGATGACTCATATATACTAAATAGATTCCACTTAAGAAACTTGCATATTTTTAAATTAATATATTTTATAATGTATCTCAGGAACGTAATTAAATACCTCGATAATAAAAACCTAACAAAACAATATTTTTTATCCAGACTTTAACTATAGAAAATTTTAAGCTGAGAAATAAGAATTTAAAGTTAAAGAAACAAATTAAAGACATGATAATGAAAATTAAACAACGATGCTTTTTTTATAAAATTCTTATTACAATTTAAATATGCGGTTAGTAGAATATTCAGTGTCGTTGTATCTTTTATAATTATTCTCTTCAAAGAAGTGCAGAAACTTTTTGTGCTCTCATAATAAAAATCTAGACTGCATGCAATATGTATAGTGAATATCATAAAAACATACCTGGAGATATATTCTTCTATCGCCCTCTCTTCAACGGGCATCATGGGAATTGGACTATTGGTCGACAGCCAGTAAGAACGATCATTGCGAGAAGCATAATGGCAGACGTTGTTGACGTCGCAGAACAGGAAGGGTATCGTGGAGAATTTTCTTACACACGAACCAGCGTAACCTGTTTTGTGATAATTTATGAGACGAATTTGATTACAAATGAACACAAAAACAGAATCGCGCGTGTAGCATCGATTCGCTGCCATTATAATTTCTTCGTTGCTTTGAGATCAAGTTGAGATATTATATGATCGTGACAGCTGACACTGAGGCAGACTCGCAGAAAAAAAAACAAGCATGACTTGTTTTACTAAATGCAAATATTAGCTTAATCGATACTAAAGAGCCTGTGAATGTGCGAAAATATGAGATACCGTGCATATAAATTCACTGAATAATGAATTTAAGTGTTTATTATTAATGTTCAAATACGAGCCGTGACAATTTAATCCAGATAATCGGAATTAATCGCACGACTCGCGTAAATCTTTGCCGAACTGCCTCCATAGAAAATGCGGGTGAGAAAGTAGCTGGGTTTATGAATATAATCCGATAAAATTTTAATAATAAAAATCATAATGAGAGATCTTTCTAAATATTGTTTTCTCTAATTTTTCAATTCATTTTCATTTCACGCGAAAACGTACGCCTATAAATAAGAGTGAGAAAAACATTTTAAACGTAATTTCAGAGATCACGCTTCATTTTACTATAATAATTTTAAATTGTTATATTTGCACAATCATATATTGTATTTTAAAGAAATGAAACCTTATTCTCTATATGATCATCATATTATTTATACGACGTAAGCTTACCTAAATCTTGAGAATGCGCTCTTTCGTCACCATCTGTGTAGAGTAAACTGTATCCCTCCCAAAGTTTAATATGGCCTGGCTCGCAAACTGGCACAGTTTCACTTTGGCTGTGTTTGACCAGAAGAATACCGGTAAGATAGTCAGGTGTTGTTTCGCAGGGTGCACCAGGTTCGCCAACAAGTCCTGGCGCACCGACAGGACCTTGCAGACCTGGTAGACCGGGTATACCGACAGGTCCTGGCAATCCCGGTAAACCAGGAGGTCCCGCTGGACCAATGTAACCTTGAGCACCTTTAATGCCATCTAGACCAGGGAAGCCGGGAGGACCCGGAACTCCCTTCTCTCCCGGTAGACCAGGTGGTCCGGTTGGTCCTATAAAAACATTGTAAATTTGTAATTTTATAAATGCAACATACGTTAGGTAATCAGAACTAGTAATATTTCATATTCTAGATAAAAAGAAGATAGCGTAATAGAAATTGGCACATTATATCCTAAGTGGCATGTTATATCCTATAACATCTTTTCAATTATATTTCAATTATATTCCATTATATTTCATATTTTTATATTTCATATTTTTATTTTTCGTATTTTAAATTATTGTTTCTTTTTATAAATTCATAAAGTTTTTACAAATAATTAATATATATATATATATATATATATATAATT